CGTCGGGCGGGCGGCGGCCGGAGCAGTAGAGGCGCTTGTGCACGTAAAAGTTGTTGATGTTGTTGAAGGTGATGTCGCACTCGAAGCACGTGGCGCCCTTGGGAGCCCCCGCGAAGAGGCCAGCCGGAGCGCCCACCCCCGCGCCCGCCTGCAGCCGGCTGTGCACCAGCTCAGACATCTTGGCCAGGATCTCGGAGGCCGGGGGCGCCGCGGGCAACTGCGGCAGAAAGAGCGCGCCGGGCCCCGGGCTGGAGCCGGGTGTGGGGCTGGACAGCTCCGCCTTGACGCGCACCGGGCTGGGGCTGGGCGGCGATGGCGTGCGCGACGGGGCCGGGGGCCCTGGCTCCGCCTCGGGCTCTTCTGCCGCCTCCACCTTGATGCTCCTGGGGGTCGCGGGGGGCTCGCCGCTGCTCCCGTTCTGGGGGGCCGCTCTGGCCTCTCCGTTGGTGGCCTCGGCCAGCGCCTTCCTGTCCAGTCCAGGCGATGGGGCAGTAGCTAGGCCCAGGTCAGCAGAGGCCAAAGGACCGTGCAATGCCGTGTGCTGCTGGAAGCCGGCCAGGCTGTCTGCAGGAAGACCCCAGGGGCCACACTTCAGGGCTGGAGCAGGACCTGCCTGGGCCAGACCTGAGGGCGGGGGAGGGCAGGAAGGGATTGCTGCGCTGGGCAAAGGCTGTGGCTGCCAAGGCCGAGACTGACACCAACCCCCTCTCACGGACTAGCCTGCCTCCCCCTCCCCGGTCCTCAGGGGGCCCCCGGGGCTCACCTGGGGGGAGCTTGGCAGTGGGGTGCCCGGCCCCTGGTGAGTAGATCTCAGCCTTAGAGCCCGGCTGGCAGACCATGTGGTTGGTCACCAGGTGGCTGTAGAGGATGTCCCTTGTGGTGGAGATGAAGCCACAGCTGTGACAGACCCCTGCAGGCAGGCTGTGGTATCAGGACCCTGGGTGGGTGGGCCCCAGAGACGCCCCCTGTCTGACCCCTTCCTGGCTCCCACCTACCGGTCAGTGTGTCTGTGTGCACCTTGAGGTGCCGCTCACAGTTGGCCTTGGTGGTGAAGGCAGATAGGCAGATGAGACACACGAAGGGGCGCTCTCCTGGAACACAGGGCCCATTGAGGGGGTGGGTCCCAAGCCCAGCTGGCCGGGGGCCGCGGCAGGCCATGCGGAGGGCCCTAAACTCAGCCTCCTTGGCCCTTGTTCCCAGGATCTGGCAGGGGCCCAGCCCCAAGCTGGCTGTCCAGGTGGTTGTGGATGGGCCAGGTGCCCTGGGCAGGTGGGAGGACCCCCTCCCAGCACATCCCCGGCTGGTGGGCAACCCCGGGACAGGTGTGTCGAGCCCACATGGTTTTGGTGGGGGTGTGGGGCCTCACCGCTGTGGCTACGCATGTGGATCTCCAGGGAGCTGGCACTGGGACAGCTTTTGCGACATTGGGGGAAGGGGCAGATGCGCTCGTTGGGGTAAGTCTCCTTGGGCTTCTCGTCGGGGACGGCTGTGGCGGGGGATCCGGAGCCCGGGCGGCTGGCACAGTAGTAGAGGAGGTGGGCTTGCAAGTTCCGCTCGCTCCGGTACCAGATGCCGCAGTCCTTGCAGGGGAAGACGTCTTCTGTGGGGGCGAGAGGCAGGCATAGCCTGAAGGGGGCACCCTGGCAGCAGAGGCGGCTGCCTACGACCTGGGGCAGGGCAGTGGGCCCCCTGCAACACGAGGGCTGTGTCTTCTCCCTTATCCCTGGATAGCCCTGCATTCCCTCTCTAGGATGCCACGGGGACAGGTGGGTGGGGTCTGAGCAGCCCCTAGGATGGCCCCCGTGCTGTCTCCCCACAGGCTTTGTGGGGTGCCCACAGAAGGACACACTAGTGGACGCCCAGGGGAACGAGGCTGGGGTCCATGTCGTGATTCTCTATGACCGGGTCAAGGTGAGCGTGTGCACGTGAACGTGCACTGGCCGTGGATGTGAGGGATGGCGTGGAGCTGGCTGCCCGTGGAGAAGACAAGCGTGTGCACACGAAACGGCGTATGGGTGGCCAGGTGCACGTGTCCCCAAGTCCTGGGGCAGGAGGATAAGAGGTGAACGTGGCTCTGGGCAGGCAGAGGATGGAGAGCCTCCCTGAGCCCCCTTACGCCTGATGGCTCCTTGTGTTACTGATAAGGGTCAACATTTGCTGAATGGAGCACATTTGCCCAAGCAGGCTGCCTCTGACTTTTCAGTTTACAGGATTTAGGGTTGCGGGGTCAGATTGCCAGAGGTGAGGATTTCTCTGATGGGGGCTCACTCGCCCTCTGGTTCTCAGCAGAAGGCTAAAGGATGCTCTGTTGTCTGCCCCTGCTCCGTGGGGCTGAACCCAGGGCCTGCAGAGGCCTCGCCCTGTGTCTTGACCTTGACGTGGACTTGGGCCTGGGACTCCTTAATTGTGTTCTAACTTATGCAGGTTCTCATCCCGCTGGTCCGCAGTTACTCAAGGGGTGGTCCTCCTCCACTGGGGGGCTGCCAGGTCTCCGGCTTCTGCCTCCTTCACGGAGCCTAGTACCTGTCTGTCAGGTGAGGTGGCCACCCCTCACGCTCCTCTGCCTGCTGTTTTTCTGGCTCAGACCTCCCCTACTGTGTTGTTTACTTCTGGTTTTCAAGTTCCCTTTTATTTGAGGGCCTCGAGGCAGCTCTGTTCTCTACCAGCTGGGGCCTTGAGGTGGGATCTGGATCCCAGGGGCCAGTGGGGGGTTTCTGTTCATAGCTGCGAGGTCAGCGCTGCAGCCAGCAGCACAGGGCGGGGCCCGGAGCCTCAGCTGCAGGCCTGAAACTTAAGATGCCACGGTCCCACCCGCCCTGAGCTGACCTCAGGCTGACCACCGGCTAGGGCCTGGGGTCCTGCACGGACGCCGTGAGGTTGGTGTTACCTTTACTCCTTTCACGGGGAGAAAACTCAGGCCCAGAGTGGTGGTGTGTCAGGAGTTAACCTGGGTCTGATCAAGCTGATTAACTAAGCTTGAGGGTCTTAAGGCCCTTCTGGGCCACCAGTTGGGGCGGGCCCATGCGGGTTAGGGGTCAATGTCAACAAGACGTCTAGCCCACGAGGACTTCTCAGGTGAAACGCTCTTGGGATGTTGTGGCTCCGAAGTCTCAGACAAAGGGGAGGGAACTTAAGGCCCGGTGAGGCTGCTGGGGCCGGGGCTCCCGGCAGCCCCCAGATGGGCGTGGGGGCAGCCACCACAGGTGGCCTGAGACACCCTTCTGTCTGCGCTTGTCCCACCCCCTTCCATCTCGGCTGCAACTGTTTGGGTCATGGTAGCCTCCATGCTGACCAGTCCAGGGGTCACATCTCTGCCCTTGGTGTCTACACAGCTGGGCTATGGCAGACTCCTCCCTCAGCTCCCGGATCTGGTGTCTGCAGGTCCCGTCTCTCTGGGGGCCTTGTCCTGCCCAGAGCTGCCCTGGCTCTGACTGCACTCTGAGCCCCAGCACATGTCTCCAGTCGCTGCCTGGGCTCCGCTCTAGTGCCTGGCAGGCGTCTCGGGTCAGAAGGTCGGAGCAGGCTCTCCCTGACTTCCTGCCAGCGACAGGATGGACCAGTGTCCACTCGCACAGCTATGCCAAAGCCCTGGGCCTCGTGCTGCTGCCCCCGCCCCCCAGTGGAGCCCTGTTGGCTCCAGTGCCCCTCTGGCCTCTGCCTTGGTGCCCCCACCTGGTTCAAGCCGTCATCACATTTGACTTGCTTCAAAAGGTCACTTTTCTTCCAATTTTGCAACCCTATGGTCACCACCTAGCAGCTGGGTGATACTAAAACTAAACCGGATCATACCCTTTGCTGCTTGAAAACCCTTGGTGGGGTCATTTCTCTGAGAAGTCCCAGCCCTGGCTGGTCTGCCCTGGCCACAGTGACCACTGTGCAGGACCTGGCATGCAGATCTCAGCTGGCTGTCCTGTCCAGTGGCTTTCCTGAGCACCCGACTGAAGTACCCCTGGCCACTGCCCACGGTGATGGATGGAGCCATACCTGCTCCCGCCTCTGCACCTCGGGGACCCAGGGCCTCACCACCTGGTTGAATATGCACATTACACAATTTTTGGGGAACAAGCGAGTTCTGTCTGATTCTCAGACCCGCTGAGGCTCCTTGTGAGTGAGTCCCCACCCCAGCTGTCCACCCCCCACCCCTGGTGGCTTTGCCCCAGGGGCACTTGGCCCGTGCTTCACACCTCATAGGTGGAGGTGGCACTGGTGTCTAGTGGATGAGGGCAGGGCTGCTCTGGGCACCCCCATGGTGCGTGTGTCAGACATCGAGATGAGAAACCTGCTTCCCACCCTCCCCGGGAGGCACCGGGCAGCCGTGTGCTGGGCCTTCCCCTGCATCCTGCCCCGGCAATGTGTGCAGACCGACCATATGGCCCCTCCTGGGGCCCCCACATCTCTGTTCAGGTCCCAGTGGTGACAGATCTTTGCAGATCCTGAGCTGGGTACCCCCTGCAGCCCTGTGCCTGGGCTGTACTGGCCCCCCGGGAGTGGAGGTGGGGGAGACACGGCAGGTTACTCACTGTTGACGACCGCCGTGGCGAGGATGGACGCCATGCCGGCCTGCTGGGGCAGGAGCTGGATGTCGGTGTGGGAGGGGGCCGGGCCCTCGGGCTCCACGGGTTCCTTCTTCACAGGGTGGCTGGGGGCTCCGTGGGGCTCAGCCATGAGGCGCACACACAACTGTCCACCTGCTGGCACCGGCTTGGTGACCCTGCACCAGAGGGCTTCACCTGTGGTGTAAGGGCATCCGTGATGGAACAGCCACTAGCACCAGCCACCACTGCCACTCATCTGCGAAGACCCCCCACCCAACCATCCATCTACCCTCTGGAACCCCTCCACACTGCCTCATCTTAGAGATAAGGGTTTTTAAGGCTGGCGTGGGGGACGGGCCAGGGAGAGGCCACACCTGGGTTTGCAGCTGTGGCCCGCTGGTTTCCATGGTGCACCCTGCGGCAACTAGGTGGTTCCTCGGGCCTGCTTGCCTTGTGCCCATCTGAGCAGGAGGGCCCTTTTCCAGGAGAGGGGCTGCAGAGCGGCTAGGGAGGGCCTAGTAGCCGCTTGCCTGGCTTTAGAAGGGCCTCCCCACTCCTTGCATCTCAGCTGGCGTGGCTGTTCCCAAGGCGGCCTGCAGAGGGCAGCCTTGGCCAACAGGACCCAGGCTGAACTGCCCACAGGTCCGTCCACCTCCAGTGTCCGGCACCGAGGCTGCCAGGAGACTTCCCCGAGAGGTGCAGGCCTCGCCTGGGCACTGCAGGGACCCTCGTCCTGGCTGGTTAGGTGAGCCTCACTGGCCAGGCCAGAACACTGACTGGGCCACGTCCCAGCCAGGCGGACAGACCCCCCCCCAGCTGATGACCTGCTGCCAACGTCAGGCCCTGCAGTACCTTCTGGCTGCTCTCCGGGTCCTTAGAGCACCCCTCGGTGAGGAGGAGGGGCCGGGGTCCTCTCCCCTACGGAGGGAGAGACAGGCACATGGGCGCCATGCTGGCCCAGGCCTCTGGGGGCGATGGCAGGGCAGGTGGGAAGCCCGGGTCCTGGCTGTGCACCTGCAGCGTGCCAGGATGTAGGCCCCCAGATGGGAGGGGTGGGTGTTGGAGCAGCAGCCTAGCTTGGCTCCCTCCCACCCTAGTGGCCTTTGGCTTTGTCCCAAAACAAGAATGCCCCAGGACACTTGGCCCAATGTGCTTGCGAGGAGATGGTGAGGGTGGTGCCCCTAGAACATCCCCTGAAAATGGAGCCCCCACAGGGGAGTGAGGAGGACTTCCTGTGGGCAGTGGGCGCACGGCCCTCCCAGGTACCCACACTGCAGGGCATGCCCCCTGCTTGGCTGTAGAAGCTATCATGGGTCTGTCTACATCCTCCCCTGGGCCCTGAGCCTCCTTGTCTGTAGTTGGGGGGTCCCTGTAGCCCTGACACCCTGGTCCTCACACGCTGGGAAGGCCATGCTGTGATTTCCTCAGGAGTCAAACCACTGCCTTGGTGTGGACACTGCCCCTGTCCCCATCTGTGTGGCTTAAGCTTTCAACTGAGGAGGTGAGGGGTGGTGAGGACCCCTCTGCTCTCCCTCCTCCCTCCTGGAAGGTGCAGGGATGCAGTGGGGACGTGGGGACATAAGGACATGGGGACGTAGGGGCAGGAGGGCCCAGCTGAATGCCCTGGGCCTGACCAGCTCTTTCCTAGACCTCGTGAAATGCCCTGAAAGGTGCAGGGACCTGTCCTGGGCCCCATAGCCAGATTTGAACATGGCCCTCCTGATCACTCCCTGAGGGGCCAGACTATACCCCCAGCCTAGCCCGCCAGACCCCACCAGCCTGGGTTCCTCGGTGCCCTGGGGAGTCTCCCAGAGGCCCTGAGGGCAGACTGGCTTCCTCGGATGCCTGTCCCCCCTCCCGTGGGCAGATGTCCATCCAGCCCCAGACTGGCATTGATCAGGGCCCTGGGGGAGTGCTGGCTATGGGAGCCAGCCCCTCAACTCGGCCCGGACAGGCCACTTTCTCTTTAAGGGCCACCCCAGGGACAGCCAGCGCCCCCCACATTCCGGAAGGCCATGAGGAAGCGCCAGGATACCAACCCTTCCTGTGGATCTCTGAGTTGGCTTCGGCCTCTGTCAGGGCACGGGGCAGCTTCTTCAGCCAGCAGGTCTCATCCTCCAGCAGCAGGGTCAGGGCCGGGCTCTGGGGACGGGGGGGGGCAGTCAGCAAGGACTCAGTCGTGCCCTTGGAACACAGCAGGGAAGTGGGGTCCATGTGGGGGAAGCCTGAGGGCCTGCCTGGTGGGGTGGCCAGTCCAGGCTGCAGGCCTGAGTCTTGTCAGGCACTGTGCTGGCAACAGAAGCCAGGGTGTCTTCCACGGATTAAGTGCTCGGTTCTCATGGAGCTTAAGGCCCAGAGAGGTCAAGCAGCTTGCCTGAGGTCACACAGCCAGTGAGCAGCAGAGGGGATTTGCACCCAGATCTCTCTTCGCTCCTTGCTGCCCTGTCCCTGGTGGGCCGCTCGGTGCTGTGGTGCAGCCCATGGGGTGCCCGGACCTGGGCAGGGCACAGGCTCCTCCCACACACACCCCTAGAGGCCCCTAGAATGAACTCTGTGGGTTGCAGCCAGGATCAGCCCAGATGGGTACTTGCATGTCCTCCCCAACAGTGCGGCCCCTCTCCCTGCTGCAGGTCCCCCTTTGTCCAATGCATCCTGGGGCTGGCGCACCTCAAGGAACACCTGCCTGGGCCCAGCAGTCCTCTGAGGTCCCCAGAATCAGCATCTGGCCTCCCTGTGACTCCCAAGACCCGTGTTCGCATGCAGGGTCAGCCCCTCACCCACCTGCCTCGCTGGTGGCCTGGAAAGTGGGCAGTGTCCTCCCATCTCACAGGTGAGGAGGCTGAGGGGAGAGGGGCAGCTCCCTTGGGGTTGCTGGAAGAACGTGGAGGGCGGTGGCCTGATTTCCGGATCCCTGGCCCCCACCAGGCAGCAGAGGAAACACGCCCCCTGTCCCAACATAGCCTGGTGCTGGGAGGGGGCCAGCCCTCGTCACATCAAGGGGACGAGGCACAGAGCCTGGCCCTGTGTGGCCCCAGGAGTTTGGGGTGACCACTGCCACCCCTCAGGCCCAGCCCCAGGGCTGGATGGGTTCTGGATGGCGCCTCTGCCTGGAGGTCCCCACCCTCAGCTGCTGGGCACTGTGGGAAGGCACAGTGCGTTCGTGTCCGAGTATTTTTTTTGTTTTAAGCAAATAAATGCCTTTTATTCAAACCTTGTATATCAGGAACTCTAACAGAAGAGCCAGGGTCACTTGGGGTCACCTAGGGGGGCGAGAGTTGTGCACCCCAGGGACACACATGGCAGTCAGCCAGGACGCTACCATGGTGGGTCGGCTGGGGCAGGCAGTATGTTTCAGGGCGCTCTCTGATGGGTCCAGTCCAAGCCCATGGCGTTACTGGGTTTTGCCTGCAGGGAGCATGTGGGCTCCAGAGCCGGGCATCAGCTCCAGCCCAGGCTTGGCCTCCCTGACTGTGACTTTGGGTAGGGCACTGCCCCTTGACCTGCAGCGGCCTCAGTGCTCCCTGTGTCCTGTCCTCATCCCGTGGCAGACTGGGGCACCCTGGCCAGCGGACCAGCTGCACAGCTCGGTCACGGATCGGTCAAGTGGAGAAGAGCCAGCAAGGGGGTCGTGGGAGCAGAGCCCTGTGGTGCCAGCACCGTGCCTGCCTCCCTGCCCTCCGCATCTCTGCACACAGTGATGCCCCAAGCCCGTGTGCTCCCTCGAATGTCCTGGAGCTGCCACTTGCTCCTGGGGGAGGTCATGTCCCTCTCCGTGACTCAGTTTCCCCCAGGGCACTGAGAGGTAGCAATCTGGGTGAAGCCATGCCTTTGATCTGTGCCCACCTGGCACATGACCTGCACAAGAGAAACAGGAGTTTCGTCCCCTCGCTTCTCCACTCCCTTTGGCCAGCAGAAAACAGAGGGCAGTGGCTGTGTCTTTGGGCCCAGGAGGCTGGTGTCCACTGGGGCACCAGGCCAGCCATCGCCAGATGTCCACTTGGGACAAGTGTCTCCACCAAGGAGGCTGCACGGGGCAGGCTGGTGGCTGGTGGCACCTGCTTTCACAGACAGCCGGCGATTCTGACAGCTGCAGAGCTGGGGGTCCTCACCAGCTGGGGACAAGCTGGGGGCCAAAGTGGAACCAGCAAGGCTGGTGCAGCAGCCAGTGACCAGTGGCTCCCCCAACCCTGCTGGCCGGGGTAGCCGACCAGCAGCTCTCAGCCAGGCAGAGGTGGGGGCCTCCCCGAGTCCCTAATGAATATTAATGAGTGGAGGAGAGAGAAAAAATTAATCTGCCTGATCCTCCGATGGGTGCTGCGGTAACGATATGAAATCTAATTATTCGTCCCAATATTTCTAAACCCTCAAACCGAGACTGACAGCCTCCCGGTCGGTTTAATGCTTATCACTCCCGGGAGCGGCCTGTTCGCGGCGTGATAAAAGCGCCCGCGCACAGCACTGCTGACGCTGCAGAACCCCTCGTCTCCGCGCACGCCCGCCTGAGCGCAGGGGAGACGGCCGGCCGCGTCCCCCAGCTCTGTGCCTCCTGCAGGGAACGGCCCGTCGCCGGGGGGTTGCCCCAGGCAGGCGGGCTGGGTGCCTGTGAGGACAGCCGAGGAGGAGGGGACGTGGGGACCTGGGGGGGCTTGCACCCTGCACCCCGGGCGGGAAACAGGAGATCCAGGCTTCGACGCCTTAGCCCTTCACCCTCGTTCCCTCAGCCCTGAACACTGGGAGGGGCCTCCCCCTCCCACTTAAAAGGGGAAGGCTGAGACCACCATCTCCAGCCTCCCAACCTGCGCTTGGCTCTAGGGGTGCAGGGGCCAGCACCCCACAGGGAGGGGAGCCGGCCCCGCCCAGCCTGCCGCTGCCCTGTCCCCGGGGCGCAGCACGCACAAGCCAGCTCTGGTCCTGGGCAGCTGGACCACAATGCGTCGGGCTGCTGCAGCCCACCCCCTGCCCCAGGAGCCTGCCTGGGGACTGAGGGCAGATTTCAGACTCTGCTCCCCTGGTGGAGAGGCTGCCAAGTTATTTACTTTCTCCCCTGCCCAGCCCCCAGTACCGAGCAGCCCTGGAACAGAAGCCCTGTTCTCTGGTGCTGGAGGCGCCAGGCCAAGGTGGGCCCCCTTCCCGGCTCTGCCATGGGCAGCGGGGTGCGAGCCTGGCCCTTCTGCCGAAACTATTAAAGATGTGTGGCCGCCAGGCACCTTTCCTCCATGGTGCCCCCCAGGCTCATGGCCGGTCTGGGTCCAGCTTGCCCTGGACAGGCCATGTCCAGGCTCGGTAAGAAACTCGGCTGCCTGCCTGGCCTGCAGCACTTGGGGTCGCCATCCCTCCCGACTGCAGGCAGCCCCACCCAGCCCTGGGGTAGCAGGCGGGCACTTTAAATTCTCTGGGTGCATCTGAGAACCCTTGTTGTTCCCCCAACAAAGAGGTCAGTGTCTGGATTCTGTGCCTGCCGATAACCATCAGAAACCCTATCTCCGCCGCATCCGCTGTGACAGCCGCATCTGAGGCTGTTCCCAAACTCTGTTGTGCATTGCACGAAGCAGCATCGCAGGGAGAGGGTGGCCCAGGGCGCCAGACAGCCCTGCAGAAGCCCTCCCCCAGGTCACTGCAGGCACGTCCACAAGAGGTCAGGACTGGGGCTGGGGCGGGCTCTGATCCAGGCCCCACCCATCTGTCCGTCAGCCCATCCTGAGACGCCCCCACCTGCCTCCCACTGACCATTGCGGGAGACAACCACCCCCGCCCCATCTCCCTGAGACCCTGGGAAGAACCCATTTCCCAGGCAAGGAGACTGAGGCCCACAGAGGTGGTGACACCCAAGGCCACCGGAAGCGGCTGCATGCCCACAGGCCGAGAAGCCAGGCCTGAGAGACCTTTGCTGCATCTCTGCAGACTCCCTGTTCCCTCCATCCACTCATTCATGCATTCATTCCCTCCCTCATTTGGTGAACAGCCCCGAGGGCCTGCTGTGTGCCAGCTGCGGGGGCAGTGTGAACAGAACGTGGGCAGAGCTGTGTGGACAGCGGGGCGTGAGGACACCCGGGGAGGACGTGGCCCCAGCCCCTTTCCCTTGGCTCAAAGCAGGGGCCACCGAAGGATGGGCCTCCTCAGTTCTCAGCTGGGGTCTTTCTGGAGTGGACTCCGGGACCCCAAGAGGCCAGTCTGAGTTGACGCTGTGGCCAGAGCCCCTCCACACCCGCAGGGCCTCCTCAATCCTGCGGCACCCCAGCCCCTCCGGCTGCAGGGAGGAGACAGGTGTGGACAGGAAGGGGGCCAGGGACCCAGGGAGGCCAGTGGCGGGTCTCCTGTCTGGGGCTTGTCCCCAGGAGGGAGTCCACCTCTCAGAGAGCCCCATGCTACCCTCTTCTTGGCCATGGGGCTCCAGCCAAGCCCAGACCTGACCATCCCCCAGGGACTGACCTCGGCTGGGCCTGGCCCTGCACACCTGTTAGCTCTGCAGAGCGGGCTGAACGTGGCCCACAAAGATGTGTCCACCTGGAGCCTGGGAACGTGACCGTGTTTGCAAAAAGTCTTTGCAGGTGTGATTAAATGAAGGCTAAGCCAGGTGAAACCACCCCGGGTAGCCAGGTGGGCACTGAATCCAATGACAAGTGTCCTGAGAGGAGGGGGAACACAGGCAGAGGCTGGACTGATTCGTCTCCAAGCCAAGGAGCTCACCAGGGCCCAGAAGCCAGACACAGGCCTGGAACGCAATGTCCCCCGGAGACCCCAGGAGGAGCCACTCTGCCAATACCAGGACTAGGAGAATGTGACTGCGTCAGATGCCCATGTGGGGTCCTCTGTGTCAGCAGCCATACGTGCTAGCCCTCTCTGCCTCAGTTTCCCCATCTGTGTAATGGGGCAGTCGGAACAGCCCCTCACAGCCAAGGTGGGTCAACAGAGTGTCAGTGTGCAGCTCTCGCCCAGGGCCCACTGGGGAAAGACTGCTGTGGTCCTTGGGACAGTTGGTCTGGGCCAGGCCACACCCCAGTTATGTGGGAGGGGAGGGGGCACAGCTGCAGGGCCTTGCCCGTGGGGCCATGGGACCCAGTGGGCTACTGGGTCCCCTGGGTGGGGGACACGGGCTGCAAGAGGCACCTGGGGGCTGGCAGAGCCGGTGAGCAAGGAGGCAGGGGCACGGGCAGGACTGGCCGGCAGACCTGGTCCAGGGCTGGTACCCAGGCCTGACGGCACTGTCAGGGCACATCCACACGTGCTGGGCAGGAACTTCGAGGCTGGACGGCTACGGCCAGCAGCAGGCACCCTAGCACATGGGGAGCAGGACCCCCCGACGTGGGACGCACAAACGTCCCAGCAGGCGAGAGAAGCAGGACACAGAGGGCTCACAGTGCCACCCCGCCCCGTCTGGCAAAGGAGGGCCCGCAGCACCCATCCTGGGCTGGGTGTCTCTGCCGCCCTCTGGCCAGGGCTCAGCCTGCCATGAGGTTTGGCTCCACCAGGCAATGATCGCAGACACCAGCCTTTGGGGCATCCTGCTTGGAGGGCCTCTCGGAGCCCCTGGTGCCCAGGAGGGGGCTGGGGAGGCCCACCGAAGCCCCTCCCGCCACGCTGAGCCCTGGGCGAAGGCTCGCCTGAGGCCCCATGTTGGCCTCCCAGGCAGGGGCGTGCCAGCCAGGGGTCCCTCCCAGCTCTCACTGCTGTCACGGCGGCTTCGTGGCTAAAGGGTGAGCCACAGGGGACGACAGGACAGCCAGGTGGAACAAGGCTGGGGGCCCGTTTGCACACTTGTTCACTCATTGGCTCGTCTGTCCGCCCACCCGTTCATCACACATCCGCTCCCTGCCCCCGACATCCACCCTGAGCACTTCTCTTGTATCTGAGCACAAGGTTTAGAGCTGGCTGGGTTTCCAGCAGCGGAGGCCACAGCTGGATCCAGGGCGGGGGGCCTGCCCCAGGTCAAAGCACACTGGTGCCAGAACCCACTCTCTGCCCTCGGCCGGGCTCTGTGCACTGTGTCCGTCCAGCATGTGTGGGGACTGTCGGGGGAGCCGCCCTGTCCCCCTCTGGCCTGCAAGTGGCCTGGGCCTGAGGGGACCAGTGGAGAAGGGTAACCAGACCCCATGGGTGCCCCCCACTTCCCCCTCCAAGCAGCAGAGACAGGCGGCCTGGGGGTGGGCGCAGGACGACTTGGGGCGGGGTGAGTGGGGGGAGCCAGAACCCACCCACTGAGCTTGATAAGGGGCCTGCTGAAACGTTAGCAAAAATATTTAGACAATAAATGAAGTATCGGAAAAGCAGGCGTATCTTTAAGAAATCAATCATCTTGTACGTGTGTCTGGACACTTGGCGCCAAGGCGGAGATAGCGCATGCTGGGGAGATAAGGGTTAATCAAGGATTTAATTCTGTGCAGATAAAGCCGCAGGGAAGAGCAGGCAGGCCCCTTCCTCCACGGCTCCTCTGCACACGCCTCAGAGGCCGGCTTCTCTGGCCCCAGCTCCCTCGGACGCTATCTCTCTGCCTGGAGAGGGTTTCCAGCCTCGTGCAAGTCTCCCCAGGCTGACCCGCTCCCCAGGCCCCATGAAGACAAAACCTCCAGAGAGGAGGCTGCAGGCGGGAGGGGAGGCCCAGGCAGGGCCCAGGGGGGCCATGGCGGGTGTCTCTGGCCCCCTAGCCCTGGCCTGCAGGGGTCTCTAGGGCTGGGCAGACACAAGTGCCAATTCTCCCTCTGCCTTTTGATCCCAGTGACTTCAGCAAGTCACAAAACCTCTTGGAGCCTCAGTTTCCTCATCTGTAAAGTGGGAGCAGTGGTACCTGCCTCATGGGGGTGGGGTGGAGAAGACAGGGCCAGGTGTGAGGATGTGTGCACAGCAGTGTGTGTGGAGCGAGTCTGGAACACACTCCTGTCCGTCTCAGAAGGGGCTGATTGTCCCCAAGGAGGGAGCAGAGGTGAGAGGTGCAGGCCTCACTCAGAACATGCCAAAGTTCCCAGTCCTTGACCATCCTGCCTTTGTCCGGTTACTGCTTACGGTTTTCTTGACACTCTGGGGGTTCAGGGATGAGCCACTGAGCTCCCATTAACTGTCCCCCAACAGCCTGACTGCTGAAGAGTTGACCGCTGGTTGCATATCTCCAGTGACGGGGAGCTCACTGCCTACAGAGACTGCTCTCAACACCACAGCCTCCCGAAATCTCACTCCTTCCACAGAGCTGAAACCCCTGGGGTTTCTGCTGCTTCCTCCCCGCTTGGAGCCACGGGACAAGAGGGTCACCCCTCCCACAGGGCTGCTGGCTACACTGCCCACTGGCCAGGCCCTGTGGCAAGCACCAGTGCGGGTCACTGCATTTAATCTGCCCGTCTGCCCTGGGGCACCAGCTTCCCCGCTTCACAGACAAGCTGCAGCTCTGCCCACCCTCTCCTCTTTGGGGAGAGTGGAGGGTCTGCAAGCTCAGGCCTCAAGGGCCCTTGAGGGCTTCCTGGGACCCCTGAGTTCCCAAAGGCTGAGGAGACAGAAGCTTGGAGAGGTGGGGCCTGCCTGGGGGCACACAGCAAAATAGCCACAAGGCAGGAGACCCAGGAATCTGGACCCGGCGCCGCAGGGACAGCCTGGCTGGAAGGTGGGTGCCCTTGGAGACTCCCACCGACTTATGAGTGGCCTGGGCAAGCGCCTGCCCCTCTGAGCCTGGCCATTTGGCTGTGATTGGTGCCTGGGTTGCATGTTCGGACGCCTTCAACCTCCTGAGGCCCCAAGCCCCAGCTCCGAGATTGTGACTCAGCATGACCAACAGCCCAGGTTTTAGTGCACACAGGAGTGGGTGGGGGCTGGGAGCGGCAGTCTGAGGGTCTGCAGCTGGGGATTCTGCCCACGGCTCCCCACCAGCCCCATGGACACTGCTGCAGGCCGAGCTCCGGGGGCCTCGGTTTCCTCGGCTGAGTGATGGGGGCTCTGACTGCCAGGTTGGAGCTGGTTAGAGACGTCAGGGCAGCACTTGGCCTCCAGGTGCGGGGGAGCCCTGCCGTCACAGCCCTGCCCCTGCCACTGAAGGCCAACCACAGGCCCATGAGACCTAGCACCACGGGGCGCCTGCCAGCAGTTCGTACCCTAGATCCGGCCACATCTGAATGCCACATCAGGAATCAAAAGGCATGGTGAAGGGCGCCCCCTGGATGCTCGTCACGCACGACTCCTCCCCGCTCCCAGCACAGCGCGGGTGCCCGCTGCACCTCCCCAGTTTGCTTCCCATACATTGATGCCTTTCTTGACTGAAACGTTTTCTAGAAGGAGCCTTGATACCCCCTGAAAGGGGACGCAGGAACTACCTGCCACAGAGGGCAGCTCAGAAGTAGCCTGGGGGGGACTGACATGTGCCGGCGGTGCTCAGATGCCAATGGCGCCCTCTCGCTGTCATCAGGAGGACCCACAGGCACAGAGACGGAAAGGAGCTCACCTTTTGTTGCAGCTGCGCCCAAGCACCCAGAATACCACCTTGCTTACCACCAGGGGTGGCCCCCCAGTGAAGTCCAGTGCCGAGGGGCAGTCCCTGCCCGCCTCCCGCGCCACAGGCCAGATCCAGCCCCCTCACCACGGGCTCCTTATTTCCTCCCCTCGATTGCTTTTTTCCTTCTCTGCCCCACCAACTTCTACTCAACCATAAGGGCCTGTTTAAAAAATCCCTTCTTCCAGGGAGCCCTCCCTGCATCACTTTCAGGTCCCATAGGCCCCACATCATCTCCTCCAGGCAGCCCTCCCTGTATTACCCTGAGGTCCCATAGGCCGCACGTCGCCACCTCCAGACAGCTCTCCCCATGCTCTCAGGCAGTTAACTCCTCCCGGCCCTCCTGGCACCAACCCCTCATGCCCACATCTCCTGACACATTTCACACGGATGGGCAGGAGCTCCTGGGCTGGAGTCCAAACCGGACTTGGCTCAAGGGAGATGAAGGGGCCTATGTCCTCAGCTGGACACTGTCCTGGCCACTGCCCTGCGGCTGGTAGACTGGCTGGCTGGGATCGGGGCTCCTTACCAGTTCTGCCTGCCTGGGGGACGAGGCTCTGGTCTGGATGCTTCCACAGAATGGGCCCCAGGACAGGCCCTCGGCGAGGCTGCATCGAGCCTGCACGCACGTCTGTCCTTCCTGCAGCACCAGCTCCAGCTCGTCTGTGGGGAGAGACGTCAGAGGTGTGAGGAGTGCCCGGCTGCTCAGGTCCAGTCCAGCCCTGCAGCCCTGTCCCCCTGGGAGCGGTCAGGGCTGAGGGCAGAGGAGGGAGGGCAGCCCTGTGCGCCTGGACCCAGGTTACAGGGATGGCGGCTGGTGCGGGGTCTGGGGACCAGGCCAGCCCCTGCGGTGGGACTTTTTCTGGGGGAGGACAGGCTGCAGACGCAGGACAGTGAGGGGCTGCAGCTGGAGCAGAGCAGGCAGGCGCGCAGCTCAGGGGCCAAGGCTGCTCTGCTGGAACACATGTGTCTCGTGCAGCCCAGTGTGCACAAATGGGGCTAGGTCACCCTGCTGCTTACGTCAGTGGGGGGCACAGAGCAGGGGACAAGGACATCGATGAGACCTGCCTCCCACCCCCAGTCCTCCCAGCCCCTTCCCGTTGGCTTGGGCCCCGAATCTGCAGAGCAAGCCTGGGCAGGCAGCTGGGCCTCGGTTTGCCGGTCTACAAGATGGGGACCCCACACGTCCTACTTCTGGGGCTGGTGTGAGGATTGAACGAGTTTATCCCCCTAGCATCTCAGCACAGCACCTGGCAGAGGGGACCAGGCCCAGAGCCACGCTCCCCCGACAAGGCCTTCAGGACAGCCAGCCTGTGCCTGGGTAGCTCTGAAGTCAGCCCCGCCGTCTCCCTGCAGATCAGCAGGGCCCCAGCACGCAGCCCCCGCTCCAGGCCCTCCACGTGCTCCTGGGGAATGTGTGGACCTGGCTCCAGCTGAAGCTAGCTGCCGCCTGTCTGTGTGGCCTGTTGCCCCGCTGAGGGTGTAGGGCTGTCCAGGGGGCACAGCTGCCTTGCTGTGGGCGGGGCCGGGCTCCCAGGTGCCAGCGGCCTGGATGGGGTAGCGGCGTCTGCGGCAGGCCATGCGCAGAACTCTGCCACGTTTCTGCGGACAGATGGGCCTCTACTGTGAGCCCCACCACTGCCTTTGCAGGGGGCAGGGCCGTGGGGTCAGACAGGGTCTGCAGCCGGGCCTCACTGAATGACCTACGTGATCTTGTGACAAGGGCCGAACGGCGGCCCCCAAAAGACACACCCGCCCAGAACCTGTGAATGTGCCCTTATTTGTAAAAAGGGTCTATGCAGCTGGGGTTAATATGGGATCTCAAGATGAGTGTCTGGATTATCTGGTGGCCCTGAAGCCAACGACAAATGTCCCCGTAAGAGACACAGTAAAGGCAGCCACGTGAAGGCAGAGGCAGAGACCTGGAGCGTCCAGAGGGAGTGCAGCTCTGCCCATACCCTGATTTGGGGCTTCTGGCTCCAGACCGTGGGAGAACAGACTTCTGATGCTTTAAGGCACCCAGGTTGTGCACATTTGCCCAGGCCGCCCTGGGAGACTCACACCTGGCAGGTTACCTGCCTCCTTGAGCCTCAGCCTCTTCATTGGACAAGGGGATGATGGTGGCCATGCCCTCAGAGGGCGCTCCCTCCCCAGGCAGGCGGGGCCACCTTGTGCCCTGGGAGCCACCTGGGCCCACAGAGGCCTCACGTGGCCTGGCCTGGCCTGGGCCCCGACTGAGCACTGCTGTGTTGGCCCCACTTCCTGGATCCCCAGTCAGGCAGGCTGTGGCCTTAATGGGCCTGATTATCAGATAACGGCCGGCCTAATGGTAGAGATAACATGTAAATATGCCAGGAGGCCCAGCTAAAATGTCTAACTGGGTCCTTGTCTTCCCCAGGGCAGATAAGATGGCAGGGGACCAGGACGAGGCTAGGGGGCGGCACCCTTTCTCAGCCTCATGGAGAGGCCCGCCCACACGGGGCCGTGTCTTCTGCCAGTGGACCCAGGCATCCTGCCCACAGGCCAGCCCCTCCCCGGGCCCTGTAGGGTGCCCAGTTGGGCACGCAGTCACCTGTTCCTGCTCAGACGGCCCTGTGACGCCCCCCCCCTGACAGACGAGGAAGCCGTGGCCCCCAGAGGGCCTGCTGCTGGCAGCAGGATGCCAGGATCTGAACCCAGGCCCCCTGGCTCCACACGCTGACCTGGGCTCCTGGCCCCTGGCATCCTGGGCGGGTTTGAGGCTCTGGTCCCCCAGCTGGCTGGCCCCAGGGGATGGGCATCTGTAGGGAGAGGCTTTCTAAAGGCAAGCTTGCTGGGCACTCATTTGCTGGTCCAGCTGCCTGATGGGCCCACGCTGTGTCTGAGGCTGGCGGGGAGCCCACCATGGGCTGGGCTTCTGCCCCGCCCACCCCCTCCCATTCCACCAACTCCAAGCAGAGGGGTCAAGGCAGAATCATCCAGAATTCTAATGCCGTGCCCTGCCCCCATCTGGACACAGCTCCCTCTGAGCCTCATGGGAGGCCCTCACTTGGGCCTCAGAATAGGGGTGCCCACGCGCCTCCCTGGGGCCACAGACAAGCCAGGGACAGGCCCTTTCCCTTCCAGTGCCTCGGGCCTGCTCCTGGTCTTGTCGGGCACGAGCCCCCAGCAGGAGCCAGTGCTTTCCTTCGGGGGCCAGTGTCCGCCTTCCCTGAGGTGGGGGACTTGGAATTCAGTTCAGTCTTCCCAGACGGGGGGCCAGGGGATACAGGCGGCTAGCCCAGGTCACTCTGTGGGCAGGAAGGGAAGTGGGTGCAGCCCAGGGCCCCCAGTCTGCCCCTGACTCGGTGCACCTGTGGGATCCCGAGGCCCCTCTCTCAGAGCCCTCACGGCCATGGAGGAAAGGGGCAGAGCCAGTGAGCACCCCCACCCCGCGCACCCACAGGCAAACCGCCATGTTCCCTAATCAGAACCCCAGGCTGGCGGCCTGGCCCCAGATAACAGCATGGCTGCCACTCCGTCTTCTGGGTATCACGCACCACCAGAGACGGGACAGCTTCTGATAAAGGCGGCCGTTCTGCACAACTGGGGGCAGAACCCACCCATTGGGTTGCTGGGGGCTGCTCAAGGCCTGGGAAAGGCAGGGAGACCAGGGATCCAGGGGATGTGGGCTGGGACTGGGCACTGGCCATCATCAGAACCCACCCTCTGGTCCAGGGGAAGCCATCTCAGAGGGGCTATGCATTAGAAAGGTGGCCCTCATGCAGGGCCACAGCAGGTGCCTGGCTTGGTGAGAACATGTCTGGATCTTAGCCGCAGCTCTCCTAGTGCCCTTGTGAGGTGTACAACCTGTGTAACTGTCCATGGTGGCTATGGTGATGTTCCACATCCATCCAGCTCCCAGTTCCTGCCCACCCCCTTGCGTAGTTAAGCAGGTGTTAAAGCCCAGTTAGCACCTACCCAGGGCTCTCTCCCAGCCAGAAGCAAGAATGTATCTAAAAACCAGGCTGGGGTTGGGCAGGGCCACCTACCCATGCAGACTCGGTACCTCATGAGGGCTCAGTTCAAAATTGAGAATGAATGAAAGTATGAATGGGCCAGGAAGGGGCTGGGGGCAGGAGACGCTGAGCTGGCGGTGGGAGCTGGCAAGGAGAGTGACAGACAGGAAGACGGCTATTTTTAAATAGTCTCAGAAAGAGCTGGAGGACCCAGACCGCAGTGGCCGTGGAGATGGTCAGCTCTCAGCCACATCGACAGGAAACCTGGGGCCCAGGGAGGCCCGGGAGTGCTCACGTCGCACTGCGAGCTGAGGCCAGAGGTGGGACCAGAACCCGGTCTCTGGACTCATGGCTCAGCCAGTCACAAAACCCCACGTGGGTGCCGGGGACAGAGATGAGAGAGGCACAGCCTCTGCCCTCAGGAACAACCAGGAAGCAACAGTGTGGCAGCTCCCATGGTGGGCCAGTCGGTGACTTTCCAGTGGAGGCGGCCTCCACTCTGGCAGCCTCCGGTGACCCATGTCTCTGTCTCCTCCTCAGCTCCAGCGAGGCCCCGGTCGCATCCTCCCTGCTCTGCCTCCTGTGGCCTCCGTGTCCGCAGGTGGAGAGTGTGAGGGGATGCCATTCACCCAGGGAACTCAGTACAAACACAATTCTTGGCCTCTGTCTACAGAGTCTTAGCCAAGAGCTTGGCTTACTTTGCAGGGATTCCTCCCAGCCACACTGAAGTTATTCCGCCCAGCGTACAGAGTGGGAGACTGGGGCTCAGAGAGGTTAAGCAACTGGCCCAAGGTACACAGCTGGGAAGTGGGATTTGAACCAGAGCCCCAGAACGCTCGCGGCCAGGGCCTTGACACCCTTCCTGGGTCTTTCTGGACTGAGGCAGGAGGCAACAGAGACGAGAGGGTGGGGAGAGGCTGCTGGAGAGGAGGTGGAGGGCAGCGGGCGGCCAGCCCCTCTCCTGCCCTGTCCTCACGTTCCCATCTGCAGACCGGTCTCCTCTGGTAGGGAGGGCGCCCCACACAGCCAGGTGGACCTCCCCACGGCGGTCAGGTTGTCACTGCGGGCACAGCACTGGGACAAAGACTAATTCATTCCGGCAAACAACCCCACATGTTATTTCCAGAACAAACACGCGTGCCAGGATTCAGTCTCACCCCGAAGCATCTGCGAGGGTCCAGAGGAGAGGCTCAGCCTTTGCATATTTATATGCTTTAAACCTCTGTTTTGGTCTACAAGCCTCTGCTCGTGTCTGGGGGACCAGGGGGAGGAGGCAGGGCTGGGCAAGAGCCACTCCTGGGAGCCCCACGGGGGGCAGCGGCGGGAGAGCTGAGGTCTGGAGTCAGCAGCGGGTGGTCCTGCCTCCACCCAGGGTGCGTGCCAGGCTAGGGGCTGTGAGGGCAGTTAGCGGGGCCACCCCTGCCCTCGGTGCCCAGGCGCGGGGCCCTGCTGGGGCTGCGCTGAGTTTCCCTGAGACTCAGCCTCGGTCCCAGCTCTGCCCCAGCCCTAGAGTGACCACCTTCAACCACACGCATGACGAACAGCGAGGAGGCACTGCTCTGCCCACCCCGTCCTGCCGTGGAGGCCCAGAGAGCTCAAGCAGCCTACTCAAGGTGGCACAGCAAGGGCTGCAGTCACCCTGCCAGACCTGAGCTCCTTCCTGACAGCAGGTCCGGGGCTCCAACC